ATGACACCATCTTATGTTCCCCTCAAAACCATACAATTTTTGTTCAAAACGTTTTTCTCTAAAATGCTTAGTTTTTGAAAGAAAAGGGGTGTACGGGTGGTCTAGGACACCCTGTATATTTTGTATATTAAATTTATTATATCATTTGTTGTATCATTTATTGTGTATTGAAATAAAAATTGAAAAAACCTACCCTAATCTAAGAAATAAAAAAAAGGGAAACTGTCCTCACACATTTTTCCTCCTCGATGGTATCTCTACCTTAACGAAGGCATTTGCCGGGTGAGGAGGTTTGCGTACTCTAATGAACCTGAGAGCTATGCCGGCGGTAACGTATATGTTTTCGAATGAAATAAGTTTGATCGCTCTGAGATCAATTAATGAATAAAATTCATAAACTCCGTCTTGGATTCTAGGGGTACTTAAGTTATTAGACTAATCAATGCAAAATATTTCGAGTAAGCCTTTAATTGATTAAGTAGAGCAAAAAATCTTATGTTTTGAAGCCAAAATAGCGGGATGTATTTAAAAAAATAATAAAAAGCTATATTATAAATATAAAAGCTATAAATTAAAAGCATGATTTGATAATGCTCAAAATGCTTAATATTTTTGTTTCAAGAATAAGAAAAAAGTGAAAGCAATTTATTATAAATATCTTTTACACGTTATATTTAAAAATTAGGGGAAAAATTATTAAGAAAATTTATTTAAGAAAATTTATTTCATTTTATATGCGCATATACATAAAAATATTTCAATTATAACTTATTATCGCTGTAGTTTATACTAGAATGACGAAACATCACGCGCAGCTAATAAAACATTAATAAATCCATAATATTTCTTTGCATTTTTAATCCACAATTATGTATTTAGCATGAACCGGCCGTTTTACCATGGCACCGAAAAGTGAATCTGGCCATGTAATTCCGCCGGTTCTAAAATGGATCTAGTTGACGTTACTATACGAGCTAGAAAAAGCATCTTTTGAAAAACGACGGCGTGGCTTCTCTCAAACTTCTAGTTGCTATCACCGACGAGATACTGGGTCTGTTCTTTATAGCTGAACTGGCTGCACTAGTTCAAAATTTATCTTTTTCTCTTCGGAAGAAAGAAGATAAACTCTGAATTAGTGCAGCCAATTCAATTCGGTTCAGCTGTAAAGAACAGATCCACTATTAAAGACCATAGCCCTGGGTAAATTATTGTGACCATCAATTGGGCCCGATAAGCCCGGAGATAATTGAAGGATGTTGACATTACCGGCCGTTTTGACTTCATCAAAGATAATTACATGAATTATTTAATTTATATTAGTTATTTTAGTTCATACAGTTATTGTTTTATTATCGAAAATACCAACAAGTAAAGACCAATGAGATTTAGCATATTATTGGAAAAAATCTACACTAAAAAATTCGCTACGCGCTACTGTAGGGAAGTAAATCTTTGCATTGTCGATAATAAAACAATAATTTCACAATAAAATGTATATTTTGTTGTTCTTGAGGCAGTTACATAAAAGATCTATACATTTTCGATAATAAAACAATAATTGGATGAACTAAAATAAGACGCAACGAGTTTTTTTTTCCGATCATTTACTAAACCCCATAAAAAAAGCACCACGATCTTTAATGATATCTCGTCGATGACAGAGTGAAGCATCTGATATTAGAACGTACATTATACAGGGGGAGATATTTGAAATATCTCTGTTACTTTTGGAAATACAAAAAATTTCTAAAAAGAAAAATGTTTGCTTAATCGAAAACCGCGTATATGTCTCATATGTATGTGGTTTTCTACTGTTGTGTTATCCTCTTATCCCCTCTACCATGATTTGACGTGTTGCGCTTCCTGAATCTGACATTAGTACTTGAGTCTCCATTCTGGCGTCATTGCATCTGGTGGCATCTCTGCCTGATCCTTGAAAATGGCTTCATGGGATCGAGTGTTATCAGGTTTCAACGCCGACGATGAAACCATTAATTTCGGCACACGGATAATCATGGAAAACAGTGGTTCACTATACGAAGCGTGTACCGTAGCAACGATTCAATCACGCGAAAAGGTACGCTGTTGTCAATGGGCGCGTTCAGAAAACACAACTATTGAGCATCGTCTTGTCAACACTCGACGTTGATTTGTTGGTTCTAGAAGTAAGAACCAATCACGTTCGATTGCTACTCAACGGTTGTCTCCTGAACGCACCCAATGTTTCCAGATGTACCGGGTTTTGTTGCTTTATCAATTTGACGGTTACACCAATTACTCTATTTTGCAGAAAAGCAACAAAACAGTTTAATTATTTATTAAAATTAAGATGAACAAATCAAGATACTTTGCAGTAAAAATTTAATTAGCCACTTTGGTATATAATGCAGTTTTATTTGCAATATATGATGTTTTTTCTACAATATTTAAATCTATGTAAAGTGCACATGCGTTAGTTTGTATTACTATGGCGCGTATTTTAAACTGTATTAACCAATTCTTCTGATATAACCAAACTGTGTGTCAAAAAAACCGAAAAATAAATACTCGGTTGACGGCTCATTAAATATATATATATCTGCATAAAAAATAAAAAAAAGATATAACCAAACTGTACTCTAATCAATTCACTTATATAAATATATACTTATATATATTAATCATTATATATAAATTGCAAAGTTATAATTATAATATTATTTAAAAATATATATATTGTAATTTACTACATTAAACAATATGTTAATCAACATGTTTTTGTTTAAGGTGGTTCAAAAACCAAGTGTTTTAGCATCTCTTCAATATTCTAAACTTTGTATAGCAATTGATAAATCCATTACAATATTTGAAGATGAGATGTGCGATAAAATATTATGCAATATTAATTTTCCTTCTATGATAGTCCGTTATTGCATTTCCAAAGATGGTTTCTTTTTATTTGTGGTGCTTGCTACTAGAATTTTATATTGTTTGCGTTTATCAGATGGAAAAAAAATTTTTACAAAGTAAGTACTTTTAATATCTTTTTAAATAAATAATGTTTTATCATATACTTAAAAACAAACTCATTGTATATAAATATATATTAGAAATGTAATTTCGAAGTCTATATAAAAGAATTTCTGATTGCAGAACTATACCTGATGATAATCAGGATAATGTAATACAGATATTTGTGAAAGCGCAAAGTGAAGAAGTCCTTATAATTCTTGTTATGGATACTGGAGTTATTTACAGGTGTTGTATATTTACATTAGAGCTATTTATTAGAATTATATTCTTTCATATTTCAATTCAGAGAGAATGTATAATTATTTAACACATTTTAGCTTCTCCAAGTTTTATCCCAAAACTTTAGAAATTGCATTAACTAATGATGATAAAGCTATGAATGCAGAACATATAACAAATATTCAATGCTCTCAGCTATTCAAGGGATTTACATCTGAAAAGGTAATATGTAATTTTTTTAAATTATTTATATATTTATATGGCATTTATAGACATATGGTTTGCACTTAATTTAAAATTTGTATGTATGTAAATTTTGTGTTTTTTTTTGTTTTCTATATTACTTTATTATGAATTTATTATAGTTCCTTAATGCTACAATAAATGAACTGTCAGATGAATTATCAATAACTATGGTAGGAATAAATTCTATGTTTATCTGGCCTAATGAACAATACAATAACTTTTATAATGTATTTTTGTTTGGATATAAAAAGATACAGTCGCTATATAGTAGCAAGTAAGTAATTTTTAAACTATACCAAGATAAAATAAAAGATTTTGTATTTTTAAGTTTATATTCTCTTCATTAAGATTGCATGTTACATAAAAATTATTTTGTTTTAGTAAAATGCTTTGTCTGCGTACAGATCATACATTAAGTATTATATGTCCAAATACGTTACTTGGGTTGAAAATATATGATGGCCCAGTGTTTGATTTTACAGTAATACAACACAATAATATCAGTCATTGCGAAATTTTATTTTTAACACAATCTAAACAGAATCCCGCTATGTATGTATTATGTCTTATTTCTTATCCAGGTAAATTGTATTAATTTATACAGAATAATTTGTCTTTTATATTATATATAATATTAATATATATATTTTTTTTTTAGATTTTGAACAGAGATTGGAAATTACTGTTCCTACCACTGTTTATTTATTGGAAGTCTTACATGCTTCTAATAATATATTTTATATAGAAGGCATTTCTGCTGATAATGAAGTTATTAATGAATTTAGGGTAAAAACGATATTGGAAAGTATTCCTGAAATGCGTTTAGCGAGATTATTAAGGAAGAAGCAATTTGATGCAGCTGAAGTTTTTGCAAAAAGATCAGGTCTTTCCTTGGAATCTATTTATTGTTCTAAAGCAGCATCATTTATAGAACAATTTGGTTTCTGGACAAGATCTACTCCTGATTTAATTAGCATAGATGCACTAATAAATATTCTAGATAAAATACAAAATGTGCAATATGTGACTGAATGTTGTAGCAAAGTCCTCATTCCTGACTATATACAAATGAGACAAATACATTTATATGCTCAACAAAGGATAATGCAAAATATGAAGGTACTTTATATTACCATAAATAGTAATCAATATAACAAATACAAAAACTCCAATAATAAACCAATATTTGATTTATTATTTATAGAAAGAAAATATGAATGATTTATTGAATACCAATCTGTCTTTGATAAACGATAGTTTATATAGACTTGAGACTTTCCAGATGATTCAATATACTGGAGAAAATATATTATTAAATTATGGTACAGATATGAAAGAATGGATACGATTTTTGCAAGCAAATTTATTAGAGGAATGTACTACTTATTTATGCATGGTACTATATAATTGTAATTATACATATATCATGCAATCTAAACAAAAAATATTTTTCTTTGTTATATATTTAATGGTTTTATAGGGTCATTTAAAATCTGCTACTCTAATTTGGACGAGACATTTTCCTGATATAATGAAACATGTATCTAGGAACGCTGTACAAAACATTTTTGCGATCTTACCCGAAGATATGGCTCCGTCATGTTTATGGCCATGGCTTACTCATTTTATACCTACATTATTATCTTTACTACCCGATACAATAGATGAAATTATATCTTGGGGTCTAAAGAAACTAAAACATCTTGAAGTATCTTATTGTACATGGCCAGAAATCGGCATAGACTTTGCTAAGAAACTTATAAAATTGCTCAAATTTGAAGATGGCCAACAATCTATATATTTTCACCAAGAATACAGATATCAGAATTCTCTATTGAAGCAGCTTACATGTTTGCTTCAAGCTTTATCCGATATTCAACAATTGAAGAATGTTTACAGGTCAGTGGTATTATAATTTTAAATAATTCACATAAAAATTAATATTAAATATTCCTAAAATTATGCTACAGATTGAGAGTACCTCTTGATATATATATTGACTTACCTATAGAAGCAATGCATATGTTATTGGATAAAATACATCTTGACCAAATCTCAGATTTTGTAAATACATTTCTTAAACAATATATACTTAATAATAATTTACAAAACGATGCTGTTCTCTGTACATATATACAGGTTGGTATAATTTTCTTGTTACGTGGTATTTTATGCTTTTATGTAAGCATAATTAAATATATTTTTTAAACATTTTTTTAATAAGTAATATAAAATATCTAATATTTTTAGAAAACCATAAAGAGCTCAAATAGTTGGTGGTTCAGTGAAGAAGCTGCATGGGAGAAAAGAGTTACTATCATAATAGAATTTATACATAATATAGAAGTAAATATTAGATTTATACTGTTCACACACCATATATTTGTTATATATTATAAGTTAAAAAATATCTTTTATTTCATTTTATATTCTAATGTATAGGATCGATTGAAGCAAACTTTGGCAGTTTTAAGAAAAGCACCAGTACCTTGGAGCTCAACTATAATCAGTTTGGCAGGAACAAACAGTAACTTTGATCATGAGTTATCTGTTGAAATTAAAATTGAATGTGAATATGTTCCGATAAAACTGGTCTTAAAAAAATATGGATATGCAACAATTGGCGTAAATAACGTTAGTATGAATCACATGGCATTATGTTTCTATGAAATCTTTATATATTGCACATTAACAAATTATTTGTTTTTAGAAATTAATATCACGGATAATAAAAGAAGATCGTGATTCTGTTATTAATGATATAGATACGCTAACTAAAAAGGATCAGCAATTAAGACAAGATGCATTTTGTCGATACATAAGCTTTCAATTAAATATAGGGTATTGTATCATGTTTATCTATGTAGTTTAAACAGAAAATAATCTTACACAAATAAGATTATTTTCGCTTATTTAATCTATTATTAAACATTGGTTTAGGAATTTGCAGAAAGCAATGGACACAATATATTATTTAGAAAATAATATCACTGATGTTTTATATTGTTATGAAGGGATTATTAATTATATTGTTGCAGTTTCTTCTTTTGAGGTAACGAACTTTGATAGTACAATACTAAATCAATGAAGAAATAGAAGAGATTTCTCTGTTGTAATTAATTATATTTAATATTTGTTGTTTTTTTTTTTAGAACATGGCAACATCTTTAACTTACCACATGAAAATACTAGGCTGTTTAGAACTCAAAATACATGATTTATTAGCACAATCAAAAATTTGTTCTTTTCGTTACAACAATATCATAAAAATGATAAAAGATTTAAAATCATTGTATACATTAAAGGAGAATTATAAAATTGATATTTCATTGAAGGATTATCATATGCAGAAGTCAATTATACTACAGAACTATATCACAAAATTGCTTTCAAGTAAAACTTCTTGAAAATTTAATTTCTCGATAATTAAATTTTATATATATATTAGTTGAAAATTTTCAATTTATTTTGGTAATGGTTTAACAGGTATGGAGGAGAACGATTTGTCGATAATACACAGAACAGTTGTTAAAGTTGCTGAATTGTTAGAATTAGAAAAATCGTATGCAACTTTATCTTTGTTAAAGCGGACGAAAAATGTAAACATATTACTACAATTTGTTGGGTAAGAATGCATTTTATATACAACATATAATTTTTATGTATAATATATATATATTTATTTCTGTATGCACTGTTTTTTTTGTTTTGCAGTCATGATGATGATTTAAATGTATTGGACAAATTTAAATATATATATAAAATATGTTTATTAGCATTACAACATGCTGCTGTAAATACAGATATTGTAAAAGTTATCAAAAACTTAAGTGCTTCAATATTAAATATTTGTCAAGACAGTACGTATCAAATCTATATTCATAATTGAAATAGCATTAAATAATTGCAAACTAATATTTCAGGTGATTTAGAATCTGCAGTAATATTATATACTTGTATCAGTATATGTCCAAGCCTTTTTATTCAACATTGTTCTAATATAAAACAAGAAATTGTGCCACATTCTGGTTGGAAATTATATACAATATATAAATCTCAGGCAATATCTTTGGATGAAAGATTATTGTTTCTATTCAATGATGCAATATTTCTTTACTTACATTTTTCAAATCAAATTGATAATAATGAAATTACAAATTGCAATGTATGTATTTTGAATTATAGTGTATATGTGTTGTGTGTGCATGTACATGTGTGCATGTGTGTGTGCTTCATTTATAAAAATAGTTTTTGATATATCTGATTATTATTTATTTATGCATTTAGGAGCAAATGGAACAATTATTAAATAACTTTTTGGAAAATGTAAAAAAAATGCAGCATCAACACAATGATTATTTTTTATTGCAAATTTTCAAAGCGTTTTATTTTATGTACTGTAGCATATCAGTAAGAAACGAAATTATATTAATGGAAATGAAATCTATATTATCGCAATTATTAATGAATCTGCTAAAAAAGCTGTGTATTGAACGATCGTTCGATCTTCAGTTAGGACTATCTTGTCTTTTTATGTTACCTGAATTGGAGGCATGCTCCTGGCTTTCTACAACTTGCACATTGTAAGAAAATTAAACAATTTTTCAATAATTAATGTAATATTAATAATATATAAAATATGATAATTAATGATAACTAATAAAATATGTAACTAAAAATATATGATAATTGATGATAACTGATAATAATTATAAAAATTTAAAAAAAAATTTGCAGTTTTCAATCCGATCATATTCGGCATTGTACGATTTCGACTCTGGGATATGAATATTCGCGAGTAGGACAAAATCAATCGTTAATACAGATGTTTGAGGATTACAAGCTACTACATATCTGGGCAAAACAATTGTCACATTATTCAATAGCTTATAAAGGTATGTTCATGCATTATCAACAAATCTAATTTTGTATTAAATGTGAAAATCTTATTTATATACATATATGTTAACATCTTTCTAATATATAGTATATATGACTTACAGAAGTTTTAATAAATGATGCTTCAAGCAAAAGAGAAATTTTAATGCAGATTGTAAATAATAATGCAGATTGTAATAAGGAGAACATAATTCCCTTACTAAAAGACTATTGCTGTAGCTTTGGTTTTAATTTCAATGATTGTCTTTTACTTTACTTACAAATATTATTGAAAACGTGGAATCCAACAATAATCATTTCAAATAAGAATATAAATAAAGGTAAGTAAAAAAAGGGTGAATAAAAAGGTATATATAAAAATATAATATATGTATTTTTATGTGATATGTGATAATCGATATTTGTATATTAAAATATTTTTATATGCATAAATAGTATAGTATAAAAAAATTTGTATATTTTATAGTCAAATGTATGATATTTTATGATATTTTACAGAATTACTTATTTGTAAAAACGAAGTAGATAAATTAAGAAAGAAATGTAACAAAATTGTTACACAATTAAAAGATGAATTTATGTTAAAGCAATGTATCTCTACATTATGGGAACAGGTAAGTTAAAAGAATAAATAAAATATTGATAGTGCTGTTTTAACTTATGAGATATAAATTTACATTTAAATTTAGATCACTTTTTACCATTATGAAGTGTTTATCATACTAATGGATCTCGTAGGAGATAAAGATATGAAAAAGAGGAATTATCTTTACTTTTTGCAAAATTACACTCGGAGTGGGTAAGTACAAATTACAATTTTGCATGAATAAATTTTAACTTTGACGCTTATCTATGCTAGGTCTCCTACTCAAATAGAACATGATGAATGGCTACAGCTTAATCCAGGACATAGCACATTACCGCCAATAGCCCAATGGAGACTTCCATTTTTGCTTAAAGTCGACATTTGGAAAATTATTAGTACGTTTATTTAAATACTTAAATAAATAATAATTATTTTATTTTATATACGTTTTATATTACATATATTCGTTATTAGCTCCTGAATTGAATTTAAGAACGTACGATAAATGGCTTGACATCGCACCCGTACTTAAACTAGAAACGCATCTCATATGTACATTAGCCATTAAGGGTGAAGTGATTCGTGTGTGGGAAAATGATTCTACTAAATCGAAGAACGCTACGTGGTCGCTTTACTCGAAGAATACAACACTGCTCAAAGATATAAAGAAATGTATACAATGCATTACTGATTCAGACGGATTTTATTACGGCACTGCGGCATTGTATTACGTTTTAAATCATACGCCTCCTGGTGCCGATTGCGTCGCTGCCGCGAAAGAATGTTACGAATATGCTCAATTGGCGGCGCAAAACTCTACTAAATTTAAGAAAGAAATGTTGGAGGTACGTTAATCTCTGATAAACTATATATATGTTATTTAAAAAATAATGTTAATTTCTGTACTCTCTGCATTTACTTTCAGAAAATTAAATACAAATATTTGAGATTCACGTCCGAGCATATTCTACGTACATATGGATTAGAGAAGGATAAATATCTTGCTTTGATCGAAAACCCATGCAAACTGGTACACGAATTATATAATGACGAAAGCATACCGTTACGATATCGAACTACAACCAATCACAGACCCGATATCAATGCTGCCGTTAATGAACTTTGCAAATTATTTTCATTGAATACAATAAAATTGCGCCTAGACTTATTGCAAGAATGGTTACAATCCGACATTAGATATACTGAATTATGCCAAAGCTTTACGGAGACAATGTTTCTAACATTGAAAGACTCTGATAAGAACACAGATTATGAAGATAATTTATTTAAGTAATACATATATTATATGTTTTTTTATATTATTTATCACTAAATTACTAATTTAACTATTGCAATTTATTTATAGGACATGTTATATGCTTGAATATGGAGATGTGAAATTGTTTGCACAATTTCTTATAAATATAAGCTTTGGCAATCAGTGCGGTCAGACTGAATACAATTGTAACATACAGTATCGAGCGTTACGAGTTTTACAGAATATTGTTGATACTACTACTTTAGAGGAATTAACCAAGCAAGATATATGTACCTTTAGGTATATAAGCAGAGATTATAATATATTATCATTTATGGCAATATATGAATTTATCCTATATTAAAGAAATAATTTTACTTTTTTTATATTTCAGAAAGCATATAAAATCGTTACAATATGTTAGCCAATTAGAATCATTGGGATTATGTTATAGCGTTAATTCGTTTGAAACGTGTTCTAAACGAGAGCTTGTTCAAATATTGTTGAAAAGTCAGCGCCATTCATCTTATGCTCTCTCTGTTATAGCACAGATTTGCATCGAATTTAAGATATATGACATTTTACTTTGGGATGATACTTTGAGTCAAATGACAAAGTTACGGATGGTATAAAGACTATAATTCATCACATATTGCCTAAAATTATTTTTCAAGAAACTCTATATTAAAACATATGTGTTTAGGTGAACGAGTTGAAGAAAGTTTTATTGCAATCACGAAGCGATAACGTCATTGTAAATTCTAATGGCTACAAAATGGGATGGCAATTGATTATCTCCGAACCATTTAGAGAGATTGATGTGAATCCGAATCTGCAACAAATTGACAGTTGCGTAGAGGCGATCTGTCTATTATATTCATGTCCTGTGATACATGAATTAAACTTCACCAATATTGTGAAAAATTGTTTCGAATGTAAACAGGCATCTCTGGCCGCGGCACTTCTACCATTTTTAAATGAATCCGAAAAAAAATTTGTTTTGGAGGTACAATTATTATTTTAGATTTATACAATCTGCTCAGATAGATATTATAAAACATTATTTTTTTTTAGATGATTGATCAAAAGTTCCAAATGGCAGAACTTATAGAAGAATTAAATCATTTTTCTTCTAAAGGAGTACTTACAGTTGCACATGTAAGTTATAATATATTTATCACAACATTACATATATATATTTTATATACTCTCTTCTCTCTTTCTTCTCCCCCTCCTTTCTCCCTCCCCTTCTCGGAACCGTCCTGTTTGATTAAATTTCAATTGATCACAGCCATTCACAGTAATCAGTGCTTGGAATTTTTCCATTAGACCAACCCATCAGAAGATCTTGCGTTGAATTGGTCACGTGGGCAGTCGAGTGTCGCTCTTTCTCTTTCCCCCTTTCTTTCCTCTTTTCTTCCTCTCATAAATATAGGAAGTATTTTCTACGTCCTTTTCTTCTTCTGCCTCTCTTCTTTTTTCCTTTCCTTTTCTTTTCTCTCTCCCCCTTTCTAAAATAAATATAAAATATAAGAAACACTATTATAAAATTTAATACACATCTAGAAAATATTTTTTGGTTTTATAAACATATTAAGCTTATTTTATTTTTATATTTATAGAGTCTTACTATTCTGCAAGAATCCGTGTTACAAGGATAAGCAAGAGGGAAATTTTGTTGATATCAGAAAAAATAATCTTAAAAATTAATCTACTTATTAAATTAAATTGTAATATTATAATTTGTAAATTTAAAAAAAAATTAAATTTTTTTATATTATTTTATCTCCCCTTTCATAAAATTGCAGTAGGGAAATTAGCTTGTGTGCGCATTATCTCCTCCACTATAATTGCGTGTTGCTAGTCTCCATTCATTTAGCATCACTGGATTAAATCTACTGTCATACTGCCGACATGCTGCTGACATTTTGCTATGTAGGTAACTGATTACTTACTACAGTAACACTTACCTGTAATATTCTGCTTTATTGTACTTATATAATTAATGTTATTTTTATATAATTAACTATATAAATAATTGTGTTTACTGGGATCGAATAAAATATTAAAAGTTTCACAAATAACACGTCTACGTTACTATTTCATTAAAAAAGCTAGAAACAGCAGATTCTATTCGGTTTTTGCCGTCAATCTGCTATCAGATTCTGCTTACAGCCTCTGTCAGCAAATCACAAGTCTAATGCGAACAGAGTCGATGCCAATTTGCTATAAATTTCTGATTAAATTTGTTATCGATTTGCTGACATATATGCAGATTGTTTATATTAGATAGTTTAAACCAGTTAATCAACTTATGTTTTGCCGTCATATGATTTATCTAAATTAACCAGCAAAATTCATTAATTCTTTTAACAAATTGGTAACAATTATGTTTACCTGTCACATACAAGATTTACTTTAACAGACGATCAATTTTCTATTCATTAATAATATGTCGATTATGATTAAAAGTGAAACAATCTAAAAAAGTTGATAATTTTGATTTCTTTCGAAGCTCTGTAATTCGTATTGTGTAATAACTAATAACGTTAAGGTCTTAGGATATTAATATAAACATATATTTATATAAACATTTTGCCTCTTTTTTTGATGATTATAATCACCTCCCTGCTCAGGTTTTGAATCGCTTTGCATATATATTATATGCAAACTATTACATCTTCTATGTATATAACTAATTTAAATTGTATTATTATTATTATATTGCGGTTTACAGCGACGTTGTAATTATCATTCGGGGCTTATATGTATTCAATGAAACTTTGAATACGACTAGTTAATTGAGCGTCGATCAATTAGAAATCATCGTACGCGCGATTCGCTATTTTTAATACCAAAAACTAACAATCAAGAATTAATCTAATTTTTATGCTAATTTATGCTTCATGATTTATAATGTCCAATAGTAGTTCTAAATCATTTTGTATTTATATAGATTTATATTTAATTTATAAATATTATTAACTAATCTATCACATGTATAAATTATAGAAAATAAAACTGATCTTATACACACGCATAAGCTTTGGTCAATCATATCGATCAATTATCAAATAACTTTTGAGCAATTTTTATTTGCAAGAGGATTAAAAAAGCAAGAGAATTAAAAATGCAGATTGATTGAAGCATATTCCAATATGTTCTAGAATGAAGCTAATACTTTCAATTGATTATTATCGATATCACTTCTTAGATTTCGATCAACGCCTTTGCGCGATTTACGAGTTAAAATTCGTTTTATATTTAGTAGACAAGTTGTCAACGGCTATATAAACGTTCATCTTGTCGGTTCATTTATCGAAGTTAAACATAATATTACTTTAAAAACGCTACAATACAATATTTCGATAACGATCCAAATATCATATATAATCCTTTTGAGCGCGATGTTCTTTTTCCAATAAAAAATATTAAAAATATGGTTTGATGAACACATGGAAATGTCGTTCTGTATTAATGAATGAAGGAAGCTTTTACATTATTTACGACATGCATTCGATATTTCGGCGTATAAGAAGTCACAATCATCCTTAATAACTTAATTTAAAAATCGCATATTCACTGTCGTCGCTTATGAATATCTATATATATGTCACACAAATCGCGCATACGTAAAAAATTTACAATGCAATGTTATTACAATGAAATTGTGTGTATAACGATAAACATCACATTGATCTTTTTTTCTCCACGACTTCCTCAGCATTTCTTACAACGTGCAACAAACAACAACAGATTACACGTGATAGTGCGAAGGACGCAGCAAACGTTACACACTGTCTGGGCTACTGGTCTCCTGGTGACAATCTTGTTCAGGTTCCTCCATCTCATCACTGTCGTTCAATGGACTTGGTTCTTCCAACTGGTACTGATTAAAGCCGCGTGTTAACGCATGATCCGCGTGTAACAGATCATGGTGATGATAGCAATGGCGATCAATGGCATCAATTACACATTGCGGTGGCAGTTCATCGATTGGGATGCCACGTGATCGTCGTCGTAGCCTTCGATGGCAGATCAAACAAAACATCAGGATGATTAGGGTGCTGCCAACCGCGTAGGCTATCGGTATTGCGTAATTATCTGCTGGTATCTCCATAATGCCTGCAATTCGCATTAGGTATATTGAAAAAAACACTACTCACCGAATTATTTTAAGATAACAATAACTAGAATGTAAGCTCTCAATAATGTAACATAAAAAATTAACATTAATAAAATAGGCTAATGAGAGCCACGAGCGCCGTAACAGGCGCAAACAAAAAGTTTTCGATTAAAAATCTATAAGTAATATTTATTATATACGTTTCAGTCCTCTGCAGGCCATCTTCAGTAAGTGTCAATTATATAAAATGAAATATAAAAACAAACAATGTAATAAGAGCAAAAGACAAGTGGAACAAAATCATAAAATTTTTTATTTGCGTCTATTAGCGGGTGCCTGGCTCTTATTAGTTCGTACCGCTGATGTTAATTTTTTATGTTATTATAAGATGTTACGGATTGATTCGAAAATTTTTGAAATTATGGTCGTTACTTAATTTATATTTTATATAAATTAAAAAATATAACAACTATGAGGAAAAGAGATAAACAGTTCAAAGAGGAAATATATTGTATAAAATTTAAGAATAGAAATAGAAATAGAGAATCGCATGCAATCAAATAATTAGTAGAGACGTATATTGAATTGTACTTCTTTTTCAGCATACTTTTCGATTTCGGATAATATTATTCGTATTTTCGACTAAAATAATATATATTTCGGTCCTCCATATAATAACTGGGATAATTTCAAATATCATATATAAAATTAACTTAATCTTCAAAATTCTCCAGTCATACTCTCTTAACCATGTATATATTCCCATATATTAATTTTAGAAATAAAATTTAAACTATTGCGAGTTAGTTTTTGACTTTGATATCTGCAAAATAATAACAAGGATGTAATATAAGCACATCCTATCCAATTCTACTTACAACGAAAGGATCAGCACTATCCGATTTTGATGGACTTTGGATATGTTGTATAGTAACTAAAAATAAAAAATACGTATTTAGAAATAAGAATTACGTATCAACATTCTCGTTTAGGGATTGAAACAACCCTTTGAAGTTAAAACTCGATATACATAATTTCAATCGAGTATCATAGAAACTGTGCGATATGTGAAAAAACATTTCAAACAAAAATTTTATGGCAATTTCATATACTTCATAACTACATATTTAGATTTTTTTTTAATATAATATTTTTCAGTATATCCTCATTATTATTATTTTTGCATATTTTATAATTTACATGAAAAAAAAACAAAGAGTGTTCAACGCCAAACTCATTCATGTATGATAACATTACTTTCCGAAATCGCATTTTTAATCAATAAATTTCAGACAAGGTATTATAATATACAAGGTGTCTCATTTTAATGGAAATAGCTATATATCTTCTAAACTTAATGTTATACAAAAAATGTTTCGGACAAAATTTATAAAGTTTTAGAGGGGGAAAAAATTAATAATCTTGAATTTTTTCATAATAAGATCATTTTTCAAGGTCATGTAAAGATCAATCTATTTTTTTTTTAAACGAAAGCACCTTAATATTTTTATATAAATCGAATCCTCGCAATATTAGTAAAAAGTTTTAAGAGTAAAATGATCAAAAATTGAGTAGTTTGCAAGATATTTCATAGTTTATTTAAAATGTTAAAGTATAAGGTTGTTTCAACCTCTAATGTGCGAGAATGCTTATATAGAAAAATAAAATAATATCATATTTTTAGTCACTCTAAAACATATGCAGCATCCATCAAAACCAATGAGGGACAGTTCTCACCGTCTCTTTCCTGATATTTGAGTCAATACGGTGGAAGTAATAATGATATTAAAATTACACATGTAATACTCATTCCAACTAGCTGTAATGTGACATGATTGTGCAATATTGTGAGTGAACTCACGTGATAAGGGGAGATCATAACATGCCGGATCATCTGGAAGCTTCATGAAGGGGGCTCAGACGGCCACGAATACAAAGCACAGAGAGAGAAGAAGCATGGCAGAAGAGACCCCAGCCAGTGCTGGTGACAATGGGGCTGATGCTGCACCTGCGACACCATACAATCATTCACACACGCAATCCCATCATTCTCTCACCTTGTGTACATACGTCTACTTTTACTACTACTTACCTAGGGAAAATTACTCTCTTATTAGCTCCGAAACACTATATGTTAATGTTAAATTGTTTATCATCCCAATGTATATTATATTTAGAAGACGCGGAAGTCAAATGTTAATTAAAAAGTATTTTGCAAATATATGTGCTGATTATAGATGTACGAATAGATAATATCGTTAAATGGATCAAAAAGTTGTAGATTGCATATGTTTCTTTTTTTATAAAGCATTTGATATATCTTCTAATAAAATAAGTGTAAAAATACATGCTCCGTGCAGTATCAATTAATATAATTTTTGATGTTCTATGTTTATATGTATATATATGTCTGTACATACCCATACAATATAGAACATTGCAACAATGTTGCTGCAATGTTCTGTGCTGAGTACATACATACATATGGCATTACATAAATTCATGTGTTAAAACATTAATGATTCTGTGTAAAACCTCCACATTTCTTTTTAAGAGGGAATTCTTTGGATTATTTAAAGACAAAAATCTTAATACAAAAATGTCGAGACTATAATAATTTTTAAATTATTAGTGATTAAGGTTTACAAATCACAGAGCCGACATTTCGCGCATTCGAGCATGATCAAATGACAAGTAGTAAAAGTGCTATCATGAACCGAGCTTCTTTAACAACGTCGAGATAATCATACAAGTATACAATAATATTTTTATTAAGAAATTGTTGAAATTTCTGCTTCTATACGGAACCTATTTGGACATTACATACGCATAATTAATATTTCGGAACATATCACAAAATATCGATTCAATATCAAGATTTGTATTACGTGTGTCAGTTGTTAAAATAAATGTATTTTTATGTTTATTTGTTTTGTATGGTAACAATTGACATGTTTCCGTCTTATTTTATCAACATATTTAATATTTTTCACATCAAAAAATAATTTATCTATCAATATTATCATGAAAATTTTTCTCATATGAAGCAAGAAAAGCAAATAAAAATAAATTTCTCTTGTCAGCTGACACATATCGTAATATCTCGCTACTGAATTGATATTTCTCGATATGTTGTGATATTAATTATGCATATAATAATGCATACATAAGTATAGAAGCAAAAACAATTTTGTTATAAAAATATGTTTCATATTTGTATGTTAATCTCGATGTTGTAAGAGAGTATGTCGTAACATTTTTATCACTTGTGATTACACTATGTCTGAGCGAACAAAGTGTCTGCTCTGTAAATCGTGAATTGTAATCGCTAATAATTTAAAAATTATTATAGCCTTAACATATTCATATTAAAAATTACGCTTTAGAATATTTTAAAGAATTCGCCCTAAAAAAAACGCGAAGATTTTAAGACACACGTTTATAAATTTTTCATTAATTTATATAAAATTCAATTTTCAAATTCATTAATATTTAAAAATATTCGCGCACAAAATTATAACATATGTTCCGATATATTTTATTATTTATAAAAAAAAAAATGTTAAATAGTTTGTTTCATATTATGTTATCACATACATATATATATATTTTTTTTTAATATAATAGAGCAAATGGATGAGAATGGGACACAAAAAAGGAGAAAAGAAAAAAGGGTGGAAGGGAGAGAGAAAAGGAGAAAAAAGAAGGGAGAGAGAAAAAAGGCAAAGGGTAAAAGAAGGAACAAAAAAGGAAGAAAAGAAAAGAGAGGGCAAAGGAAGTGGGAGAAAAAGGAAGAAGAAAAAAGAAAAAGAAAAAAGAAAGAAAAAGAAAAAAGAAGAAAGGGAAAGAAGGGAAGAAAAAGAGAAAAAAAGTGAGAAGGAGAGAAAGAGGTAAAAGAGAGAAGAGAAAAAAAAAGAAGAGGAAAGAGAAAGAAGAGAGAAGAAAGAAAGGAAGAAGGAAGGGAGAGGAAAGAAAAGAAAATAATGAAAAAAGGGGTGAGCGGAAGAGGGAGAAAAAGAAGAGAAAAACAGGGAGAGGAAGAGGGTGGAGAAAAAGGAAGGGGTGAGTAAAGGGGAAAGGAGAGAAAAGAAAGAGACAAGCAAAAAAGGGCAGAAAGGAAGAAAAGAAAGAGGGTGAAAAAATGAAAAAGAAGTGGAAAAGGTGAGAAGAAAGAGGAAAAAGAGAGGTGAAGAGGTGGGATAAAAGGAGTGAGAGGAAGGAGCGGGAAGGAAAAGGGGGAATGGTGAGGAAGGGGAGAAAGTGATGGATGGGGGGAAAGAAGAAAAAATGTTAGCTGGAGAGGACGGGCGGAGAGAAAGAGGGAGGAAAGAGGAGAGAGAGATAGGGGAGAAGGAAGGGAGAAAGACTGGAGATGCATGTTATTTTACTTGATTAATCCGAATTATATCGTTATTTATGCCGACTATCAATGAATCTTAGTGCCCTTACTTTTACTTTGTAGTATAAAAAAATGACAAACTAACAATACTGATAAAGGATAGACCTGAAAAGGTGTTACGATACACAAAGACAGTACACTTGGAAATCTTTGTAGAATATGTCTATTGAACAGTCCAGAGGAGATTACACTGAATATTAGTAGAGTATAGTTCACGTATAGAAAGAAAATGAAAGAATAATATAAATCGTAATGGAAGCAAAGTAAAACATTGAATCACACCGCTTTTCGAAATGCTTGCTTCTGTTAACACACGTTGTGTTCTAACGTTAGCGAAACTTACAATTCTCTTCATCCGACGTATCGTCCGGCCCGCAATTATCAATGTTATTGCAGTGTAGCGGTTGAAGAAGAAAAAAGAAAAAGAAAAAAGAAAGAAAAAGAAAAAAGAAGAAAGGGAAAGAAGGGAAGAAAAAGAGAAAAAAAGTGAGAAGGAGAGAAAGAGGGAAAAGAGAGAAGAGAAAAAAAAGAAGAGGAAAGAGAAAGAAGAGAGAAGAAAGAAAGGAAGAAGGAAGGGAGAGGAAGGAAAAGAAAATGATGAAAAAAGGGGTAATGAGGGGTGAGCGGAAGAGGGAGAAAAAGAAGAGAAAAACAGGGAGAGGAAGAGGGTGGAGAAAAAGGAAGGGGTGAGTAAAGGGGAAAGGAGAGAAAAGAAAGAGACAAGTCTTGACAGTCTGTATTCGTGTTTACTTCAGTCCACACCGCCCGAAAGCCTTGTTGTCCTACCGCTTTATCGGCTGATATAAAACTATAACATAATGCCAAAATGTACTAGAAATGTCTTTCAAAAAGCTTTCTTATTCATTTAAGCATGACCAACCTGAGCCGCATATTATTATCTTCCGAAAGAAAATTCCATTTTGTGTCAGGAGTTTTAACGCCACAGAGCTCGTGTGGAGTGGACGTCAATGAATACCATATACGTAATACGGCTGCGGGACAACCTCGTGCTATGAAAATAATTATCAATAAATTAATAGTTTCTAACACAATGTGAATAAATATAAAAATAAATATATGTAAAAATTATAATAGATGAAAACATGATATATACGAGTATCAAGGCCATTGAAATTTGTGAGATCATCCCTAATATGTATAATTATCCTATAATTTTTAATAAATATGTCAATTTTGATAATCATACAATTTCTCAGACTTCAATTTTTTTTATTTTTGAAACAGATGCTTAAAAAAATTGGAATACTATTATCAAAACTGTAATATAATGTGATAGGGAATAGTCTATACGGGCTTACATTTTTATTTTAATCTTTCAGCTCTAAAGACTAGAATCCAAAAATATAATAATATACCAGTTTCGATAAATTTTTTAAAAATATATAAGAGAAAGAACAGATATATCAAATTAACCTTATTAACTGATTATAATAATAAATTTATGTATTACCTAATTGGTCACCTTCCACAGAGAAGGTCTCAAAGTTCAAGAGTATCTGGTGCTTTGGTCGAACCATTATGAACCAGTTGCAAGTTTTGCTAGCTAAGTTTCTCGCCGGACCGTCATATTTATTAGGGAAATTCGGACTGGTTATTATACCATAATTTAAACTACTAATATTTGATCCACAATCTACGACATAATAATTTAGTAAAATTAATATTACGAATGACGAATGCATAGCTTTCCAAAATTAAATTTCTAATCGTCTAAACTGTTGATAAATAAATCATTTTTATATTTTTTTCAAACTAAAATGGTTTAAACAAAATTTTTTAATTTGAAATTGGAGATATAAGAAATTCAAATAATTATATTTTCTTTTTAATTATCTGTTTTTTAACTGGAAGACAACAAAGTGCATTGGTACCTCCGAAAATAGGTTTAGCGATCTCGAAAGTGTAACGCGCTTTGAAGCCGCTGTACACAAGCTCGGAATCGGAATGCAAAATCACTTTCAAGCCACGAGCACCAAGATTCGATTCTACCGGACCCGGCGCAGTTACACCACAATACCTTCCTATCAATTTTTCCGTATCGTCCCGGTACACATTGTAAATTTCAAGCCAATCTTCCTGACATAATTCATATCTATAAAAAATATTAGAGACAATATATTGATCCAATTCGATACACGCTAACAATGTAATTCACTCACCCGTAATGTCCGACCGTCACGTTGACGTTTCTCGTACGAACCTTAAAGTGATCAAAAATCAAAGTAATCTGCTCGTTCGGTGTTGCGTTGAAAAAGTACGTGCAATTCGTATCACTCGGATAATTACTAGGATATCGTGGAGAATTAAATTCACCGCGTTTGCGAGACAAACTATGATAAGTAAAACTACAACTGCCATCGGGCGCCGCAGTACCAGGTATTTTATATTCTGTTTCGAAGGTGTACCTGTCGGCGATACAACACACACATACACACATACATAATTAATATATCGATAAAAATTATAATTAATATATTGATAAAAATTATATTTACTGCTTTTATTTTGTATTCTACTATTTTTGTTTAAATACTATGGTAGATCAAAAAGTAAGTTCTCGATATTTAAATCATTCTTGAACAATATTCTGTATCGCTGCATCATCTGGAAATCGTCTTCCTTCAAAATGTTTCTTCAATGTCTCAAATAAATGAAAATAGGAAGATCCGGGCTATAGAAAAGATGTTCCATAATATTCCGATCAAATGATTACAAGAGTTCCCGAATCCGATATGCATAGTGAGGTCTGGGATTATCGTGAGCAAAATTTACAAGAGGCCTGGTCTTTTCTAAAGAGAATATTTCTCTAGAGAGAAACCCAGGTTTCTTTCTTCAAATTGCCTCTTTGATGATGCAGCAGTATAGAATATTATTTAAGAATAATTTAAGCATTAAGAGTCCTATTTTTACCGAGAGGAAATTCAAATCAATCAAACTCGTGCCAAGGTGAAATAAGTGTATCAATATTCTTAAAGAGACTATATTGAAAAGTAGTCATTAGCTTCTATTTTAACATAATGAGTCCGATTTATGCATAAGTTATAAATAAAAGTTGTAATAAAACGAGGAATCTCACTTTTTGGTTTATCGTAGTATATTTTTATATACTATATTATCATATCTACACTCACTCAGCCTTGAAACCTGTCGCCTGATGTTCTCCGCTACTGAACACCATCACAAGTCTCGGCCCATCACTAACCACGTGATTCGGATTGCTCTTATTACCACACATCTCGTAATCGAATTTATCATAAGAATCTGTCACTTCTTGGCCCTTCAGATACAATTTTAGATAACCATCGGTGCAAGCATTTCTAAACAAGTTCGAAGGACATAGTACACAAACGGTTCCATTTACATATCATCTGGCATACATTCTGGCATACACTTACTCTCCGTTAGGAATCTGTATCGCGAATTGCATAAATTCCAATCGTACGCGTTCCAAGTGCTGAGAGTCCTGCATCCCGTAGATAAAATAACGGCAGACGACCTTAGGTATATAAGGATATGGAAAATTTGGACTAACTACAAATCCCGATTTTTCCTCTTTACTGAGGATCTTCTGATCGCACTCGGATCCACGGATATGCTCGCCACGATACTCTTTTATAAAGTCTATGTGATAAAGAGAATGATAAGTATCGTTTAAATCTAAAACAATTCGATAAACGGTGTATAAATCACTATTATCTTACCCAGACTAACAAAACTCTCCGAGAACTCGAAGATGCCTTTGAAACCTCGATTTTGAGTATTTGCTGTGCGCTTCAATGTGATGAACGTCACAAACAAACTATTATTCGAAGAGTACAATACTAAGTTTCGTTGCTGACCACAATACGTGCCAATAACGGCACTCGAATTGTCGAAACCATCGTATATCTTTACGTAATCCAATGGGCAACTATGAAATAATTCCAATTTTTTTCGTTAAATTAAATTAAACTATCATTACAAATAATAACAATAATAAGAATTCAAAGTGATTCAAAAATATATCTCTACAAAAAAATGAACGTAAAATTAATCAAAAGAGAATAACAAAAATTTATTGTACAAAAATAAATTTTCTTTAGTATTTCCACATTATCAAAATATTAATTTTTTTTCTTTGTTTTTAGAAAGTTAATTTCTTAGTTCATCTATATTATATTTATTACAAGCTATAAGAATTTTAAAAATCTAAAAAAAAAATTCAGTCTTGCATGTACGTACTGTGGTCCGCCAAAATATAAATCGAAGTCGCGAAATTCCAACCGCACACGTTGTCCAGTCTTCCCGATAAATTGATAGCTACAAGTGAGATTTTTCGGATAAGTGCCAGGATAAGTGGGAGATAGTATATTTCCGGTACGTTTAGCTTTTGCGTCTATCGTAAAAGAGCATGGTGTATTTGGCGTTGGAGTGCCCACTTCATACTCAGCTGCGAATGTTACATTAACTATCAATAAACTTATAGCTCATTTTTAAAATGCTTAATATATATAAGCGCGTATCATCAATGAAATGCTTTAAAATCAATATAAAACTTACAAGCATTGAGAAATCTGTAAATACCACTGAAAACATTCGGCATAGTGGTATTCTTATCAGTAAAAAAACTAAGAGCAATTCCCTGATAAAGAGAGACCCGTCTGCGAGGTGGAATCGGTCCACAAAACCGTCCACCGAATGGCGTTTCTATCAGCTTAGTCGTGTTCTCCGATCGTATCTCGGAGTATATATCCATATACTCGTGAATACAGCTGGAAAAAAGTATTTCGCATAATTTTTATATGGCTCATTTCTTTTTTTTTCTGCTCTCTCTGCATACATTTATGTATGAATTTATTTGTCAGTAAAAGATAGATAAATCAAAGTACTTATTCTAAAGTTTGTGGCACACGCGGAAGGCGATTTTTCCTGTTATATCGTATACGAAGTAATAAATTATTACATCGAGAAAGTTGTTTTTTTTTTAAACAGAATCAACATATTAAATCTTTATTTTCTGATAAAATATATCTAATTTACAAAATATAATCGTATCTAATTGTATATAACAAAAAATAATAAAAAATATTGTAGAAGAGATACTTAATAACAAGAATTAATATCGAATATATTATATAATATAGCGTTAAATTTTGAATCTGACTATACGTGAATATATATGATTATATCTAAATAATATAGAAACATTTTTTCTTGGGTACTATTTATTTTAATCAAAAACAAAATTTTATTGAAATAATTGTTTCTTCCTCAAAATTGTTTAATTGTTTCTAATAATATATATCTTTTTGCTTCTTCTTCATTTTTTTCCCTCTCTCTTTAAAATATATTTATATATAATTCAAATATTGTTTCAAATACAAAGAATATATTTCTTTTCTCAGAGAGAATTTATCATCGTTTTATAACTCATCAAAATTTATTTAATGTATTTAAATAGTTCTCTCCCTTTCTCTTAATTAAAAAACTTCAAGTATTTAATATAAATAAATAAGCCATTAGAATCTGAGTAGTTTTTTTTGTATTAAGATATTTTTTCTCAATATAGGAATGCTGTATGTTATATAGCACACTTCTAATAATAATTCCTGTGGCTCGCATATAATCTAGGACATTCTAGGACAAAAAATCGCATGGTATGCCATACAGATTTTAATGTAATTTATTATAAGTTTACTAATACTTACGCAGGTAATTCTCCCACAGCAGATCCACTACATATCCAAAAAAGTATGCATGTAAACAATACATAATTAGACAATTATTGCATATTTAAAATGTCAATTTCGCGTTACTTTTAAAATGTTGATTAAATCTTCCGTAAAAAAAGAAAAATAAATATAATTTTTTATATTCTTTTTATAATATACTTGTTTTATACACAATTATTAAAATTTCCATCAAAAAATAATCAGAAAAAATTTATAAAACTCGATGCGTCGCGGCATTCATTGTTATTGAAAAAATGGCAAACAACGTTATCAATCCGTGAATGACAATAAGCAAATCGCGAATTCCGATACATCAGATGCGATTACGAAATGAATAATCGCGAATTAAAATGATGCTAAATAGTAGAAACTCACTCTGGTGGTTTTCCTCGGAGGCCGAACGAGGTGAAAATCAATTCGACACGCTGACGCGGCCCCGCGAGGAACGTGTAAACGCACTGTTGTGGATCCCCTTCAGGATTGATGAGCATTGGTGCATAAAAGGTCCCGTTCGGCAATCCATCAGGAGTGCTTACAAACTTTTGATCACACTCTATACAAAAAGAGATAAAATCACGACTGGCGTTTGATGAAATCATTGAGCTCGAGAAAAGTCGACGTAATTTTCTACGATTAACGAGTACAGTAAAAAAGATACTAAAAGAGCGGACGTACTTGGTATTCTGGCAGTGGTGGCACCTCCCGGTGGAGGTGGTAGTGATGCAACATAGTCTTGTTGTGGCAGTGATGCATCAATTACCTCGCGGGCTGAATTGAGGGATGATGTGACGATACAAAGCACCCCGCGACAATATCCACCACCACCGGGAACACACCACACCATATATTATAATCGTGATAATAATCGTGATGTAAGATCGATAATAATATAACACGCATCTTATGTTATCTCATGTTTAATATTTTCCAATTTTATACGCATTAACAATCTACTTTCAGATTAAGCGCATTAAAAAATGATTACTTTAAATTTCGTATTTAAAAAAAATATAATTTTATTGATAAAAATAAAGTTATATTGGAAAATTTTGAGATCAAAATAACTAGTATTTATCCGGAATGTAAATACTAGTATTTACGCTGACAATGAGTGTAAATACTAGTAATATTAGTAAATATTAATGTAAATACTAATACTATTAATATTAATATATAATACACTCATACATATTATTATTTGATATTATATTATATTTTGAAGTTAACACATGCAAAATTAAAAGACAAAGTTCGTTAATAAACTCACAGTTAAAAATAATTAAATATAAAATCTCATAATCTTAAATTAAAATTTTGATTTCTCATATAAAGAGAATTGTCCTGTAAAGAGAGTTATCTTAAGTGTTGAAAGTCTCGAGTGTCTTGTAATACTTCGAAAATGTTACATGATTGCATACATATCAAAAATCTCGTAATTAAAATTGTTTGTGCTGAAAAGAAGTCGACACCGCCAACTGCTTTAAATATTGTGTCAACTTTTATAAAGCGATACTCTAAAGAAATACTAAAATATCTATATTATTATATCATGTGTGTTCTTACTGACCTGTGGAATTGTGTGGACAGAACAGTAAGAGAAACGCGAAAACTGACGAAAGAAAATTATTCCCAGAAGCATGCCAGAATGCTGGAGCCATACTGTACCCTGAGAATAATCGTTCATATATCTCTCGATTGTTAACATACTTTTACGGATTCATATTATAATTCTTAAACGATTATTAATATAAATAAGAACATTTTGTCAGATGTGTTTACCATATCGTTAGTATCTGTCTCGATCACAGGAAAAGCGAAGAAATCTGATCCAGAAGATCATCTGCAATAAACGATCCCATTGTTTTAATTACTACAATTATATATTTGGAAAATATTATATATTCGCATATATCTTTTTAAAACAATAATTACATACACATAACGTCAAGAATAAGATTTTGAAAGGAACAGGGTGTTCGGATATTCAACCGACAAACTTTCAGAGATTGGAGGGGGGGGGGTACTCTAAGGATCATTTTTTGCAAATGAACCTAGAGTCGGAAACGCATATCGTTACATCGCTACGACGTCGGGAATATCGGCGGCATAAGGCTCTGAGCAAGGCAGCCTGCCATGCACGTGACGTCACAAACGCTTAATTTAAACAGCGTATGGCGCATTGCTTGTCCGAAAAATACTACAATTAAATGGCCTAGGTCCATTTGCAAAAAATGATCCTTAGAGTGCCCCCGACAATCTCTGAAAGTTTGTCGGTTGAATATCCGGATACCCTGTATATAAAAAAAAAAAAACAATATATTAAATATCATTATTTAAAGATCGGATACCCTGTATATAAAAAAAACAATATATTAAATATCATAATTTAAAGAAATATAAAATACACAATTTGTTTAATCGATCGATAATATCTATATTGTATTTTATCATACTTTCAAATAACTGTATCGTATATTATATTTATAAGATCAACAAAAAACTTGTTAATACAACAACCATAGTCACTATTTTTATAGCAATGGTCATATATATATAATCACTTGTTTAATCGATTATAATTTTCAAGATTTTGCGCAGACGAGATGTTTATGTAGTTTATGAAACTTGATCTAAATTTTTCGAAAAACATTTTTTTATCGAGCAGCAAAGTATTAAAAATACGTTATTTTAAGGAACAAAATAATGTTTTTTTTTTAAAGCATAGAGACAAGGAAAATAAAAAAGTTTTTTGACGCTATCAATAGCGTGCAAAGCTGAAAGATATAAAATGCTTTTTTAATTTTTTGTCTACGATGATTTTCGCCGAGTTCCAGCGGTTTAAAAATATATATATCTCTATATAATAATAATCCGATTTTTATCGTATGAAAAGTATTCCCTATTGTTTTTGAGTAATAAATATATTACGATTTGGATAGACATTAGTTATTAATATGTACAACGTAACATCTCGTCTGCGCAAAATCTTTAAAAAATGTTAGTTATTAGCTCTCGTGTATATATAATAAGAGAGAGAGAGAGAGAGAGAGAGAGAGAGAGAGAGAGAGAGAGAGAGAGAGAGAGAGAGAGAGAGAGAGAGAGAGAGAGAGAGAGAGAGAGAGAGAGAGAGAGAGAGAGAGAGAGAGAGAGAGAGAGAGAGAGAGAGAGAGAGAGAGAGAGAGAGAGAGAGAGAGAGAGAGAGAGAGAGAGAGAGAGAGAGAGAGAGAGAGAGAGAGAGAGAGAGAGAGAGAGAGAGAGAGAGAGAGAGAGAGAGAGAGAGAGAGAGAGAGAGAGAGAGAGAGAGAGAGAGAGAGAGAGAGAGAGAGAGAGCTATTATCTTATTAATATATTTAAAAAATAAAGAAAATATATTATATAATGAAACGTATATGTGTAATAATATTAGTCAATAATTTTGAAGTATCATAGCATATAAATACAAGAATCGATTTGATTTATAATACATGCGAGTAAGTAGTTTCGACCAATCTATAAATAGACAATGAAAATGACAGATAAGTCTAGTACAACGATTAATAATGCAATTCGGCAAACTATAGACACAAGCTCTGCAATAGGATCAATGAATATTTCTCGTTTATAGCGCATTGTATCAACGCTAATAACCCCATATTATTTCTATATTTTATTCAAAACTTTTTTTTAGAGAAAAGAATATATTAAAGATTTCTAAATATTATTTTATTTGATTATTTTATTTGTCATATTTATGAAGTTGTATCTTTTAAATGTATTTATAATCTTAACAAAAAGTATCTATTAATCTGTATTTATTTTTGGAGTCATAATAATCCTTAAATAATAATTAATTTAAAATGTTAATTTACACAAATTGTTTTTCATTTTGCTAATTTCAGATTAATAAATAAGAGATTTATTATATTAGTATCTATTTAAGAAATGATTTTCATCGAGCTATAAAAACCAGATAAAATTTATCTCCCTTGTTTTTTTTATGTTTCATCGATAAACGGGAATAATTGACAGAAGCGAAATACATGTAAAACGGCAATATCGCAAAAAAGTAGAACAGATTATAGGATCAGAACCGCACCCATGCGCTTGGAAAAGGATAGCAAGATGGTCAATAGCAGCGCCTCTATATTAAACGCAAGCTTTCTTTAATAGATCATGCTACAAATCGCATGATACAAATGTTAAATAAAATAATCAAATTTTCCAGTAAATATCTTTAAATATTTAAAATTAAATGCGTGTTACAATATATAATATTCTAAATTTTGGAATAATCGTTACGTCGTTAATATTTATTACTATGTTAAAATAATCTATTAATAAATTACATAAAAATAATGCTTTCTTTTTGACTCGGTAAATAATCTATAGTTTTGTCACATTATAATTATCCGCGTTAGACTCTTCATTAGATAAATAATGATACTATTACGTAATTTTTATTCACAATTTCTGATAAAAACGCTTTTATAGTAAATAATGAATTTAGTAGATAAATTTTGACGCGCAATAAATACTCTAAATACTCATTCTTTCATATAGTACCCACAAGATATATCGGTGCTATGTCAAAAATGCAATAAAATAATTCAATTTAGTTATAGAAATATAATCTAGATATGTAAGTACATAAAAAGCAAAAAACACTGAAAAAAGACATGATCACAAATTAGTTATGAACAATTATGTATTCAGCGCAAAATAAATAAGAAATGCAGTACTCTAGAAACGAGGAGAAAATATATAGAAAATAAAAGAAATTTAATAATAAAAAAAAAATATGTGTAAAGCAAAATAAAAATATTCACACATTTGATTCGAAAATTGAGATTTAGAAAATCAAGTCCAAGAATTATATAACACGTCAAACATATTACATCATTATGCTGATGCTAAGACAATTGATTACCTATTGTATCAATATTGTATCATTATAAGAGACTGTCTTTCGAGATTTTTCTGCAGGTGATCACAAATCATATTAACATCGCACTTTCACCACCGCGAATCCAATTCGTTAACACTGTAAGTTCATTGATCACGTTTGCGTTAACATGAATCTCATAATTCACCATCTCATATTTAAAATAAAATCTATTATTGCATATGTTTTTAACAATAATTAAACAATAGCTTTTTTTACGTCTTCGAAAATTAATAGACTTTAATATAGTATCTACATATCTCATTTCAGGATTGATTTTAATCATTCTTCACCGAAATCTCTAACACACCTAACGCTATAAACATGAATTAATAGATCATATATATGATCAAAACTACCACACTCGTTACTGTAACACGATAATGATTAAAAAGAACAGAAACGAAATTAAAGATTTCAATATAAATTTTATCCCGATAAATATTCTCGCCATTTCATTGCATCTGCAATACCTAAATAAAGCACGTCAGTAATAAATATTTTAAGAGGATATAAATTAAGATATGCTCTATCTCTCTCTCTCTCAATAGAACAAAAACAGAATTACAAAGATGCTTAAAAGCAAAATGATGAAAAATTGAAAAATAACTCTCTATCCTTATATGTATGTATCTTAAACTCGCGAATATATAACATATTAAAATTTGCACAGAAAAATTTGCAAATATATATTCGAATTGACGAAATCGCGATATTGCCTCTCTGTACTCTGTCTCTCTCTCTCTCTCTTTCTCTCTCCACACACCTCTAATGATCGACACGTCCACTGTGTGAGCGCAGCCACGACTATTCTCGAAAATCAGCCTGCTTGTTCGCACAGAGCTTCTTTCTCCCTTAGAAAGAAATTCACCCTGTCGCAAGGCGTCTCTTCTAAGGCGCGGTATTCCACCCTTACGTGCACTATTTACACCCTACACGCGAGTCGCGCGACTGTCACAATCCCCGACACGCCTTCTGGTTACAAAAGAGCGACGAATGACGGAACGTGCGCAGGACGCAGTAATTCAGTGGCTATCACGCGGTGGTGAATGCGACTCTGCATATCGAATGAGACGATATTGCGACGACGCGGCGGGGGCGGCGGCCGCGACAACGATGCGCCGCGATTATTTTCGAGAAGGATTATTGCGCACGTCATTAATCCCTGCGCGTATACTATGACGTATAAAGCATCAATAGCCCTAATTTATCGCTGTAGATGTAGTTCGTTGCTCTGGAGAATTAAGCTCGGTCTACGATGAGTCGTTAGTCGCAAACAAATTGACCAATCACAGTCGATTATTCCAAGAATATTCTTGGAATAATCGACTGTGATTGGTCAATTTGTTTGCGACTAACGACTAACGACTAGCTCATTGTAAATCGGGCATAAGAGTTCAAAGAATTAAGCTCGATAAATTCATGGAATCAGGTTTTCTTACTATAGACATGCGCACACACATACAAGAATTACTTTCACTTAGGGCCAATTTCACCAAGTCCGGTTAGATTCCAACTGAAATGATATGAATACTTGGTTTTCCTTCACCTCTATTTTCTATTGACCACAATGCTAATTTTAACCGTCGGTTCATCTAACCGGACTTGGTGAAATTGGCCCTTAGCGCAAGAACCATCCCAATTTCTGTTCTATATATATAATATCTTTTATTTACCCTTATCGATATCGACTTTTGTATCCACTAGAAATTAGTCCTCGTAATATCAGACTCACTTATCGAACATCATTATCTGTATAACGAAAATGTGTAGGCATTACTGTTTGCCACCATCACTCTCTTGAAAGCCAATTTGCACCCTTGTTGCTGCTGTTTCTTGCCTTCATTAGGATAAAGCTTGCTATGGCTTTGACACGGTATCATTATTAGAATCACGAGAGAAAAGCAAAATGGTTGATTATTACGCACGTTAACAAATATACGCGATTCACAATCGGCAAAGAAAAACACAGATTTTTATATATTATATTAGACCGCGATGCTAAAAGTGATGCAAAGGCAGCCATTTTCTGGGTGGGTAGAATATATATATATAAGTTGCGTAAAATGTTCTCATTGCAGATTCTATCATATATCTACTGAAAGTCCAATTTTATATTTTTATCGCATTCAACCGAGTTCAATTGATACTTATCTTTAAAGAAAAAGCTGCAATGTTACATATTAAAGTTGATTTATATGAATATTTGATGCATATTCAACAACACATATAAATATAGTTTAGGTTAAAAATTATATTCCACTTGATAGAAAAGTCTAGTTCAAGTTTCTAAAAAAATAAGAGAAACAGATTGTATATATACTTATTGAAAAAATTTGATATTCCCTTTTTTAGAATATTTACTTGCACAGTCAAGTATGTACTACGCGTGATTGGTTATTTCTTATTTTTATATGTGCATTACATGTGCCCTTGATACTTTTCACAGTCTTATTTTTTTTTTTAATGTTCACTATCAATACGTTATCAAAAGACATCGAATTCTGCGACACCCGATATGACATTCTACCCACCCAGAAAATGGCTGCCCTTACGTAGTTTGAAAAATTCGCTGTACGCTAATACTCTCTCAAGAAATATAACGACCAAAATAGAATAGAATATAGCACTCTTAATCTAGGATTCATCTTACAATGAACAAGTGCAATGCAGTGTTGCACAAATATGTTAATTTATCGCTATTAGAGCTAAATTATTTTCTTTAGTTTAGTGTAGTATTATTTAAAAGCTCTCTCAAGAAATATAACGACCAAAATAGAAAGAATATAGCATTCTTAATCTAGGATTCATCTTACAATGAACAAGTGCAATGCAGTGTTGCACAAATATGTTAATTTATCGCTATTAGAGCTAAATTATTTTCTTTAGTTTAGTGTAGTATTATTTAAAAATGTATCAAATTTTTTTAAATTTTTTATTAGTTAATATTATTATTTTAATAATTATTTTTCTACGAAGAATATCGCTTTTCGAATACGATATGTGATAAATTAATATACGTATGTTGAAAAATTATTTTACCTTTAATTTCAATGTGTATTTTTAAAAAATTTTATGGGGTTTTAATTTATATTAATAATTATTATTTAAATAGGAAAATTTTTGAGATTATTTAAAATTTTTATATAAATGTTACGTCCAGGCCTGGAAAAGGATAGGCGGAAGGAAGGGCGCAGTTTTAGTGTTCGAGAAGATTAATGCATTTGCCTATCTTGTGGCACGAGTTTGAAGATCCATTCTCGATAAAAAAAAAGTATTATTCAATGGCACAAAGAGACTTATATAGGAGCCTTCAATCTATCAGAACCTCCTTTTTTAATCCACATCGTAAAAAAAAAAAAATCTCGAAGAAAATCCCCTTGGCTCGTCGCTCTGTATAAGTGGACCGAATTAGGAAACGCAAACATAAAAAAATCTTATTTTTGACAGTTGCTCCAAAAAATCTTTACTTCTCTTTACCTGGAATCTTGAATAAAAATATCCGGAAGATTAATGAATTTTAACGAGATTTGAGTAAACAACCTGTAAAAGTAAAGGTTGTTAAATAAAGTGCAGCACAAATTTAAGAAAGGTAATTCACATACAACTGTTTATTAAGACATGTAGAATACATCTGTTCATACACAAAAATCTTTGATACTTCAAATCAAGCTCTTAGCCCGAAAAAAGGAATCATGTTATAACATTCTTTTTTAAATTCATCATTAATCATTATGTTTAACTACGTCTCACACTAAAGTTAGGGGCAACTTGGAGAAATAAAAATTGCGGGAATTATAAAGCAAAGCAATTAGTAGATAGGAGATGAATAATAAAGAATCCGAAAAAACACAATTTATAATTGTCAGTAATGTAAAGAATTTGGCGATAAAATAATTTTGCACGTCTGTTTTATAGCTACGGAGCTGATACGTAGCACAAAAAAATATAACATGTACATGTATCTTTTTTTCCTTTTCGGGGGTTTGGGGGCGGGTGTTTTTCTTACTGAATCCTTCGTTACTATCGTACGATTTCCTTCTTTCTCGTTAATTAGTGCTAAATAACATCACGTCACAAAAATGCATATATTCGCAGAAATATAATATATATTTATATATAATTAAAAAAAACATGTGCTTCGTGGGTCGCTTTGAATTAATGTTCGCAACGGTTCGACCCAAGGATCACACAACATCCGACATATGAGAGATGGCCAACTGCGACATGATAAGCCCCGAATGATGTAATGATGTCTCGAAGAAAAAAGAAATGTGCCGCGAATCATCATTCATCATCATCATTAGTATTATTATTATTATCATCATCATCATTATCATCATTATTATTAACGGGGCGTTGGCCGGATAAAAAAGAAGGGCGCGCGCACGCGGCTACGGCATCGCCAGCCACAGTGTGTGTGGTGCAATATCCTAAAATGCGACCGATAACCCCCCCCCGCCTCTCTCCCAGGCACCCCA